ACTTTAACAACATAGGCGAATTTGAATATTAGGGTGATATATTTTCATAAGATGAACCTGCCATTGGTCCCATTCATGCATGTTTTAGAATGTCTATGGCAAATATCTTTTTACAAATAGTATTGTAGTACTATTGGGTGGTACTGTAGTTAACATACTCATTAGCCTTTACTAAAAGCGAGCCTGCTATTTCACCTTGGGATTTTATTCATTGCAGTGTAATTACATAAACAATTTAGTTCTAGTTTCTGATTCTCACTTAGGGAAGAATGACCATCATTCTCTAAGGAAAAGTACAGGCAGATGGGCTCCAGTGGGGCAGGGCACTGCCATCAATGCTGGGAGTGCAAAGCAGTGGTTTTTCTCTGACAATGCACAGAGTCCATTACTCTTGCTGACAGAAAGCTCAGTCTTCAGGAGCTGTATTTGATTTTCAGTTTGACCGAGTGCTGGGGACTTACTGCTGTCCTTACATGCTCAGATTTTCACCTATGAGGCTATCCGTAGGATGAGTGGGTAATTCTCCGTGGGCAGGAGTCGGAGGGTAGGCTGAGCCATTGCTCTGTCCGCCCTTCGGAACCTGCTCTAGAGGCAATTTGTGGCTACTAAGCAAGTTAACTTAAACTTCTGAAGAGAGACATCTTCAGCTGTCCCAGTTCACGACCTCCCAGAAGTGTGAGGATTTATATACTCCTGTCTAAGTAAGTTCTCTCTCAAATTTTCTTAAGATTTTGTTTATTTCTTTATAAAACACCATGATTGGTGTAGTAAAAATGTGCAGTATTTTATGCTCTGCATATTCTAAAAAATAAAGAAGGTTAAATGACACCTTTTTTTAAATGAAACTGTCTAATGATTTTCTCTATTTTGAAGGATGAATATTTTAGGCATCCAGGCAATCTAAATGAAAAGAGAACTTATCACAGCTATTGTATGTAGTTGTTTAAGTTTTTACAGGAATCACAACTTATTGATATGAAACATGAAATGGCTTTACTGTTCATCATTACTCTGGCTCACATTAGTTATCCAGCCCTTACTCAGAAAGCTTGGCATTTAAATTGAATGAGCTTGTTTGGCATGACACAGGAATCAGACAGGTAGACTGTTTCCTCAGGGTTTGGCTCTGACGTTTTCTCTTCATACGTATAAAATGTAAGATCACCTTGTTTTAGTGGCTATTTCTGTAACTTCTTTTTATTTTCTCTGAAGCTTTTGAGTGAATTCAGAATTAGCATTTCCATAGAGGAGTCATGAGAGATCTAGGTAAATTTTATTAAATTTATAGCTATAGATATGCTTTGCATATCCCAGAAAAGACTGGTTTGTATTTTGGTAGGAAGTGGTTGAGTGAGTTTTTGCACCTGCTTCTCCATGCTTAGTGGACATAAATGTTTGTATTTCAGAGCACAGAGAGACAGATTTCCTGGCTCTTAAATGAAGCCACACAATAAGGATGTTTTATTCACACTGTAATTCTTACACAAGTATAATATTTATGTGTAGCATGCTCTTTTCTAAAATCTGTTTTGCAAATAGTGTCCTACTACAATTTTAACCATGTTCTAATCAGAACTCAATTGCTAGCAAAATACATGGGGAAGAGCATTTGATATTTTATTTGGTATTTCTTTTGTACATTTAAGCTTAGACAGGATCTTACAACTAATTTGGCCATGTTGACAAGAGTTTGGTTTTTAAACCATTAATATAAATAATATAAATATAGACTTGGGTAGACTATGGTCAGACCGTCCATCTGAACACAACTTCAACTCCAAAGCCTCCTCTTTTCCCTCTTTCCTCCTTTCATTCATTCTTTTCCCCTGAAAATATTTATTTATTCCCCACTATGTGCCACTGGGAATGCAGTGGGGCAGAGGTGGTCTTTTCCCTGAGGAGACTTGAAGTTTAGAGGGAAAGATGAACCTAATAGAAATAAACAACTACACAAAAAATCTCTGTTCTGTTTATGCTCGTTCTCCATTGTGCGGTGAACACTTCCAGAGGCAAAGCACAATATATTAGGTGATGGGAGAGAGACCCAAAGATGAGAGAGATACAGTCCTTGCCAAAGGAGTAGAGGAGAGTGTATGTATGTATACAAATATACATGTTGATATACATATAAATGGTCTATTTATTTATATATCTACCTATGTAGGTGATACTTAAAACAAGGAATTTCATGCATTCAGAGATGGTAGTGAAATGACTTCTATTTGGGGTGATCAGCTAATATTTCTTAGATGTGATATTTTAACTGCTTTATAAAAATAAATTGGACTTTGATAAGAAAATATGGTGGACAAAGTATTCTAGACAAAGGGAGTAGAATAAGCAAGAAGGTGGAAAAATGCAATCAACACAAGAAAAAAACAGAAATGAATCTTTAAACATCAACAAAAAAATAGTTATATGGAAATAGAAGAAAAGTAAGGTTTGTAGAATAAATTGAGGTTTATAAATCTGAAAACACTGTGGTTTTCAAATACGTGTTTAAGGATGTATTAGACTTTATAAAATAGATCAAATATGGCTACTAACAATATTTAATAAATTTAATAAATAAATCTGTACAGGTGAGGAGGGTGACCCCAGAGAGGAAGGCCTGGTCTGTTGTTAGAATCTAGCGAGGGATGAGGAAGACCTGAATTGCTGGTGTTCAGATGGGAAATCAGTGTTTCAGGTCTGAAGCAAATTTGCAACAATGTCCTGAACTTTCACAGAGATAACCTCTAGAATGGAGAAGCCATTAGGCCTCCCCACTAAAGTGATCCACTTCCTAAGGGGTTTGAAAGCCAAGTTTTCCTGACCTATGTGATAATACAAATTCCATTTAACATGGAAAAACCATAAGGACAGTAAAGAAGATGGGTTTAGTGTGACATCACCATATATACGTATTTCTGAACTGATTTAGCTGATCCATGAGTAAATGATTATTCCAGCCTTGAGAGTTAAATATTTAGAAGTTAGCTTTCTTTTAGAGTTCGTATATAATACAGGGCTGATTTCCTCCGCTACAGACTTCTGTTCTTCATTTCCTGCATTTTAATACCTTATAATTATTATTCTTACTCTATCTTTTTTCAGTTCCCTGAATGAAAATTATTTAAAGGCTGAGCACGAACGTCCACAAAATCTTTTGTGAAAGAAGAAAAGGAAATTCAGTTTGTGGGTCTCAGCAGGAGTTAAGCTAATGCAGCTTAAAATAATGCCGAGAAAGAAGCGCTTATCTGCAGGCAGAGTGCCCCTGATTCTCTTCCTGTGCCAGATGATTAGTGCACTGGAAGTACCTCTTGATCGTAAGTATTAACATTTTAAAGCTGTTAGGCCGGGAGTCCAAGCCTCCTGGCATTCACTATCACTCTGAACCGCCTGAATGAAGGTGTCTGTGTGACACTGAAAAGCTAATCAAAATTAATTTGGCTTTTACCTTCACCACCTGGTGTTTTTAAAGACTCACACCATAGAAATGGCCATTGAAACAGCCAGATGCACTGTTCCTCCCTTCTGTTTTTCCGTTTCATTCGGCGGTCAGGTGCCTTTTGTGTGCAGTGGTGGGGATGGCCTGAGAAGGAGTGAGTTGTTCCATAGCTGGGGCCTTTCTCTGGAAAAGCAGACCTGTAAGAAAACTAGATGGACCACTTTAAAAGTATCATGGAGACGTCCCAGAACCCCCTCGCGTCCCCCTCGAGTGCTCCTCATAGATGGGGGGGTTGCTCTCTCTCTGCCAGCCCTATACCCCTTGGAATCCCCAGACCACTCATAATTCATTTCTCTTGACTCAACCCACATTTCACTTTCTACTTTTGAATCTTAAATATGAGTCTAGAACTAGAACAAAGATCTTATCTAGATCCTAGCAAATAGTCTAATGTGGTTTAAAGCAAAATGCAAATTTTGAGGATAAAACAAATAATCTACAAAAACAATCATGTAACAAACAATAGCTACTGTACTCACTCACTCTTTTCGTAATAGCTAGTAAAATACATATACGCTACACGCTCCATGGTCTGGGTGGCCTGTGAAAACTAAAGATAAGGTTGGGTTCCAACTGGTCACTTTTTCTGCACTGGAAAGCAGAATTTCAAATCTGGACGATTACTGTACTTCAGAATTGATTTCTCCTTTATCCCTAATCGGCATGACCTCTTTAAATCCATTAGCTTCCTGAATAGAACATCTGTTTGGCAAGCTTTCCAAGGTGCAAGGAAGACAGTGCTTTCCTAGGGCTGTGCAATTGTTGGGATGTGGTTTTTTCTGTCTATTTTTTTCCTCCTCCTCCCCTTTTTTTTTTTGCCATAGAGGTTGCAACTGCCCATGCAAAGACATTAAGAAGAGGTGTGGTTTGCCTCAGTCTTTGTTAACTTCCTTCGCTGTGTTCCTATAGTTAAAAACACAATAAAATGCAATTATTTTCTTATTTTGAAAAATATGGATTCAATGACCTTAATTTCAATTTTCAAAACTGTATATAATTGCTTAAGTCCGTTGAATTAAGACTGCCTAAGTAAGCCTTTGTCCTGGCAGATACACAGGAGAGGAAGAAAAGCACTTGAGAAAAATGCTTTTGTTCTCTCTTGTGTTAAATATATTCCCTCTTAATCTGACTGCTCAATCTTACAATCAGAGGGAAACAGTCACCTATGGCTAACTCAATTATCGCTGCTAATAGAGAAGAGGCGTAACCATGATGAAAAGAAAGTCAGGGATAACTCAGGCACTCCTGCGTTAACCCTCTCAAGTAGTAATGACAGCCGGCACTGTGGAATGATTTGAATCGCATGCTAACGTAATTTCTTCCCTACCCCTATTTCTTATACCCTTTCTCCAGTACATGAGTGACTCCTTGGTGTGACCACCAACAGCCCATGCATGACTGAGGAATTCTGAAGCATAAATATGCTAACAATCTAAAAAGTTCCTTTATTGACTCAGAGGTTAACCATAGAGATATAAAAATCTAAAATCAGTGCTGGACTAAGGTTGGATAGAGCGCTGTCATTGTAACAGTGTCCCATTGTTAGGTATTATTGCCCTACGCACAGTGATGTCTGAGATAATAGGATCAGACACTACACGGTATGTGACAACTCAAATTAATTGTAGATTTCAGCTATTTTTCAAATTGAACATAATTACTTGTCCGGCGCAACATGTATGGAATAGAATTAGCCGGTCCTATTCCTGGAAGAATCATTTTTTGCCTACAGCGTTGGTTTTGTTCTTCCACGCGTTTAGTGGGGAAGCTGCTGGAGGAGTAAACAAAACCATTAATGTGGGATCCTTTCTCTTCCAAGTTCACAGCCTCAGTGTGCACTAGGCGGGGTTTTAGGTGACATCAAGTAGACTAAATGCCCCTTTTACCTTTAGGGTTCTTCTTACTAACATCTGATTTTCTTTAATCCTTTTTGCCCACTCACCTGCTGATATTGATGTGGAAAAAGCAAAACTTCTTGAAGACTGTAAGTGTCTTTCTATAAATTACTGGGCAGTGTGAAAATTTGACCATGTCTTTGTGGTTTTATTTGAATTAATACTGTGAATTAAGTACACCATTTCATGTTTGGTGACGAGTGCCTTTTGAAGTGTGTATATTCACTCTAGCTAAGCATTGCATTTAAATACCCCCCCCAAGTGCAAATGTAAGATATTATCTGCAAGAATTCTGAAGACTAGGGCATTGTTCTTCCTCTTACCAGCATGCTGCTCTACTAACTTCCAAGCTTTATTCACATCTGATGTAACTCAATGAGAAAATTCTCAAATTTTAGAGAGAATCATTATCTGGTTCTAAATCCTATTCTATGCTTTCTGGAACAAAGATGAGTCTTCTGGTGTCTTTTAGAAGGCGGGGTGTGCTCCGCAGCTTTGCCCAAGTTGGCAGCTGTGTGTCTTCTCAGGCATCTTCAGCCTTCAGGACTGTGTAGTGTTTCAAGGAGTCATAAGGAGAATAACCCTACAAAGTTGAATGGGGTTATTCAATTTATGAAGTGTGCACAACACAAGCAGCTTCCACTCACACAGTTTCTGAGTGACGTGCTCTAGGCATCTACCTTCTCACAAAAAATAGCCAGTTTTCAGGCATTTGAAATTTTCTTTGATGTTGGATTAACCAGGAAAATTATGTAAAACCACTTTTCCCCTTATGACTGCAACACATTAGTTAATTGTCAAGTGACCTACGCAGCGCTCAGAGGTACATCCAGGACGTAAACTCCTAGCAGTTAGGAGCAGCATCTAAGCCAGCCCAGCACGAGAACAGAAGCTCTGCATTTGAAACTGACAAATCTGTACTTCTGTCACTCCTAGAAATGCACAAGGAAGTAGGCTACGGCATTCTTAAGAATCTCTGTTCCTACTGCCTATGTCCACTGTTCCCTGGGTATCGGATTTCATGATTCCTTCTATTGTCCCAAACTCTATACTCTCAAAGCCTAAAGGATCATTCATAGGTGAATCTTGTTCAAATAAAAACGATTATGATAATAATTTTAAAATAGCTGATATCATTGAACTGTTACAGCATTGGCTTGTACTAAAAATTTTATGCAAATTATCTTCTTAATCCTTCTAGCAGCTGACAGTAGATACTACTGTCAAAGCTCATTTCCCTCTGAGGAAACTAGAGCTTAGATAAGTTAAGAAATTTGCTTTAAGTCCATAGCTAGTAAGAAACAGACTGGTTCTAAATCAAACTACTACTTAGGATTGGAAACTGATGGGGCTAGAAGAATGAATGAGGTTTCTGCTATATGATGAAGTCTAGAAGAGCAGCTAGGTTTGGCTGGAAAATTAGGAAGGGGACGTGATATTGCTGAAGAGAAGGAAAATTGACACTGCCCCAAATCCTGCATACATAGGTGCACAATAAATATTGACAGTAATGAGCTTAGATTTTGATCTATACTTTAGGTCTTATTAATTAATATTTGGATACCATTGGGCGGTACCTGTGGCTCAAAGGAGTAGGGCACTGGTCCCATATGCCGGGGGTGGCTGGTTCAAACCCAGCCCTGGCAAAAAAACTGCAAAATATATACATATATATATTTGGAT